CCCCCAAAACCCCAAAACCCCAAAACCCCTCATGGAGAGAAGAAATTGATATTTATATTTTTATGCACTCCAATGCGATATTAAAATTTATTCAAATTTGTGATACAACTTGCCGAATGATTTATGGAGCATTTTAGCTGCCTTTGGATCAACAAATTCTAACAATATCTTCTCGTATGTACGCTTGGAGAGATCCTTCTTAGAAGGAAGGCTAAGTTTTTGATGTTTTTTCTCAGTCTTGAGAATGGACTGATCTCTTATCACAGGGAAATCTACAATAAATTCCAAGTCTTACTAATGAAACTGCGGCCAAGTTTGAAAAAGTTGATACAGAGCTCACTGATTATTCAACTAGTTGGCATATAAATTTCAAATAAATGATTGATGATTCTTTCTCTGTCGTTATTGTGGTTATTAAGCAGAAATTTTACATATTCGTTTGTAAGGGAATGAACCTCTTCCCCAAGCTGGCAATCACTATCTATTTGGGTTTGTGCATGCAGGAGGGTTGTTATAGATACCTCTTTGTCTTTATGCATGGCATACATTTCTCTGTGACTTAGACTTGAGCTTACTTAATCTTTTTGTTCATTTCCCTCATGTTTACTTGCTAGAGGTTAGATCAACTTGAAGTACGTAGAACGGCAATAGTTTCTCAATAAAGTCATAAAGCACTATTTTCTTGTAATCGTAGCCATCTGAAAGGTAATAATACAGCATTTTTGTGAAGAGAGGCTGTTCATACCCTAAGATTTTTACCTATAATTCATTAATCAGATTGCCAACATTCGATCTAATGTGAACTCACAATTAACTTTTAAATTTTAGCACAAAAGGAGATTTTAGCTTGTACTCCGCTTAAGCCCATCAGTTATTTTATGCAAGGCTTTTAAAGCTAATAACATCAATGTTTCAAGGCCATATTTCTGTAAACAAATTGTAAGTATCCGATTCTCTTTTCATGAATTAAATTTATTTATTTTGAACTCGAATGAGACAATGAAATTTAGACTCCGATTCAATCATAAATAGTAAAGTATTTTACAGGTGAAGAATAAATACACATAGAAGATGTAAACAGGATTGTTAAGAGCTTAAAAATCAATAATAAAAGTCCAGATAATTATACTATAATATCCCTTGTATCAGAATCAATAATAGAAAATTCCTATTATATATTATTCTGCTTTATAGTCAAAGTCGTCAAAATAGTCTAAGAACCTATGAGTTATAATAAACTCAGATCTATTCTCACAAGGATCCCTCCGATTCCAACCTCCCCTTATCCCCTGTAATAGACCTACCAAATTAGTGTCTAGAGATTCATAATTAATAAACAGGAGTTCTTCATATTTCTCTTGTGGGTTGTGCACCAAAGTCTTAAAAATCTCGAGGAAATCCACGAATGTAGTCTCATCGACAAGTTCTATAGCTATAGACCCGGAGTAATACCTTTGGCTTTTTCTAGCATCTCGCTTGCTTTCTTCTTATCAAAAATCCGTTCTAGTATATCATTAGGGTTACTTACCTGGTGTTCTCTTGACAGGACCCGTGCTCCTTTTGATAAGATCAATGCTGGTTAAGTACCTAGAAGTAATGAAGAAGTGTACTTGATGAAATCGATAATTATCATCGGCCACTTGTGTTCAAACCTGAGAGCTACAGCTATCATGACAAGCTCACCTTGAAACTCTTCTACTGTAATAGATTCACTTTTAGTATCTTCCTTGGATAGTAGAGGCATCCAATCTGACTTCTTTGTATTTTTGATCTTTGGCTTCTTTGAGACAATAGATTTAGGCGAAGCGCTTCGGGATTGCTGTTCTTTAAGAGTAATCAGTGTTGGAGAAAAGTTTTCATGGATACTTAAGGAGTCTGGAAGCTTCAGAGTTCCCTTAGGCACTCTAAGATGTGCCTTATGAGCAGCTGAGAAGTTATAAGAGCTGTGGAGAGAGCTCTGCTGAGATTTACGCTCTAGAATAAAGAGTAAAGATATATAATACCTTCTTTTAACTTGAGTCTCGATCTTAGAGCCTAAGGTGAACCAATAAACTTACTTCTACTTTTTTCTTGCTTTTTATGAGATTATAGATGGTTTTCATGTCTTCCGAAACTTTGGTGAGGAAGATGTCATCAGAGAGGTTCTTTATCAAGATAAAAAGATCATACTCCCCAATTTTGGAGTCATCATTTGTATCATAAGCATCAAATGCTATGTATTTATGCAACTCCATTGGAAGATTCATGTAGCTCTCCATCATCTCAACGAAGTGGGTGAAATCAACCGGGAGGGAGATTGAAAAGCACTGTAATAAGGCCTCTCAAATATTAGGTGGATATCTTTTCATTAAATAGGCTTTTAGATCGTTATTTTTCAAACTTTAGCTGCTTTTCAGAGATACTTGCAGACTTATTTCAAATCTTCTTAAAGATATCAAATAACTTTCCTTGAAGCCTCTTGTTGGATGGATTGAGATAGATTTGATGAATCTATAGTTTAACTAATATCTCACTTTGATGTTATTCGCTCCAGGGATAATTTTTAACTTATGTACATCAATTTCACTACTCTAAAAATGATTGAGAAAAGGATACCTGATCTGAATCAGTTTCAAAAGAATCATCAAGCAGCACTCTCTTCTTGAGTGCCATTTGAACTGCCATACTCTTTCTTATTTGCTTTTCTGCATGTTTTCTCGACTCCAGGCTCTTAATTTAACTATTGCTGATTAAAGGAACCAAACATTTTTAAATTGGCTGGTTTCTGGGACATTGACGCTTTTATTATTCTTCCGTTGCTCAGTGTTCGAATTACCCTTGATGATAGGCAGCTTGAAGAAGTTCTTTTTCTGCATTTCCCTTTCCATAAACTTCCTGGAAGGTGACTGGGATTTCTTAGATGTAGCGTTTGGATTAGTTTTGATCAAACGTTTTTCTAGAGATTAAGAGCAAAGTTACTCCTCTTAACGACTGGAATTTTCCCTAACTTCATTTTGTGGTTACTCTTTTGGCTGATGTCAATTCTGAAAGTATTATTTGCATATGCTTCGTTGCTTTTAAAACGTATTTTCTCTACAGTTAAGTAAGATTAAAATAGGTAATAAAACTAGCTTTAAGGGAGGATAGAAGGTGTAGTTTGTGCTCTTTTATTTTAAGATCTAGTTTTAGAGGACATTGCTTTTAAATTGGTTTAAGATAGCTCATTTGAAACCTCTTTTTGCCAGAGAGTTAAGTACAAATAGAATAATTAGCTCTGACATTAATGAATTTCATAACACTAGAAACAAAGATTTATTTAAACCTTAACGAATACAAGTATAAAGCAAGAGCTTTTCTCTATCTCTTTGGGCTCTGTATTGATCAATAAGTGTTTCCATAATTGCACTATCAATCTCACCATCATGGCTGCACTATCCAAGGCCTAAGAAATTATTTTGATCTATTAAAGATCCAGGAAGCTTACTTTGAGTAAATAACCTTCATAGATCAGCCCAGATATTCCCTAAGCTACTCAAGAATATTATTGTTAAAACTTTCATTAGGACTTAACCTCCTGTTGAGACCAAATAGCAAATTTACGTTACACAATTATAAACCTAAAATACACTAGAAATGATCTTCAACTAATCCTCTTGTAAACTGGCATAAACGTACTAGTAAATTGGGCATTGCTGGTCGACTTCGAGTTAAAATTATAGTTGACGAGAACCCCTCTGTCATAACTCCTCCCTCGATTACTAGCGATTGTGTAAAGACCCCGTCTTTGAGCCTCTGAGAGGACAATGTTCATTGCTGATTTGTTGTCTGAAACAGTTGACAAAAACTGGTCTACGAATTGTCTTCTTCAGATATTCTGCTCTTCTTTTGAGAAAGCCTGAGGTTTCGCTATTTTCTCCATTTATTTTATTTCAATTATAAAATTTCTGACTGGGGTTTTGGGGTTTTGGGGTTTTGGGGTTTTGGGG